GTCTAAAAACCAATGGCACAATATCCTTGGGTGAGGATTAAAGATAAAAAGAAAGTTCTCATCAGATACAAGCTCATAATTCTGCTGATGCAGCCACTCTATTCAACGGGCTTCCTGAGATGAGGCATTGCCTTGATGAATTAGCTGTGGATATAGGCATCCTGCAGTTGGCGCTGACATGCAATTTAATTTCCAATCAAGCCTGATTTCTGGGCTGAGGGGACCTGCCTGCCTCACGCTGGGAAGGTCATTCAGATCAGACCCATTGTCTCTGACGATGGTTCTCTTAGGAAGGGCGCTCTGAAGGAAACTTGACCCTTGACTGGTTCAGGCAGTTGGGGATGCGGCAGCTCCTGCTTTCCCTCAGCAGCTAAGTTTACCCAAGTAGATTCAAGAAAGTTCTCATCGAGGTCTAACAGTCTGTCTGCAGCAGGGAATCCAGCTAAAAAATGGATTGAGAGGGAGAGAGGCCAGATGGTCAGTGAGACTCACAAGGAAGAGAAGTGGGGAGTTGCTAGAGAGAAGGGGCAGTAGGACATTGTCTGAGCCCAAAGAAGGAAGAATCAGGATGATCCGGGGAAGGAGACACGTTTGCTCAGGAAGAACGAACATTTGTGGTGCATCAGACACTGAGCTGCATGCTTCACACACCTGACAGCATCAAGTCCTCTCAAGTGCCCTGTGAAACAAGCCATGTTGCAGCTAGTTGCCAGCTGAGGAAACTGAGGCTTGGAGACATCAACAAAACTGGCCCAGGTCATCGACAACTGGACTCCAGCTCTTGTTCTTCTGAGCTTTCCTGTCTGCAGGCCCCCTGTCCAGAGGAAATACAAACATATAGTTTAGGGTCATAAGCATAAGGTCATACTCAGCTGACACTTACCTGCCCAAACATGCAAGAACAAGACAAAAGCATCTAAAACATGTCCTGGGAATGACAGTAACTGATGGCTGAGTCAGCATGGGCAAATGGTCTGATGGCAGGACAACCAAACCCTGTTGCTATGGGTTTCTATATGGGCTCACGTGGCAGTGGGAGCTGAGAACTGGGCATCATGGCCCAGCGTGGCTGAGAGGCTCTGGCTGCTCCAGATCAATGAGTCTGGCTTCAGGGAATTTCAATCCCGGGGGTTGGAAAGAAACAACTGAGGGCCTACAAACAGTGGTTAAAGACACAGGAATACAAATGTTGTCAGAAATACGACTTGTGTGGTCAGCAGAGTCGCAGAAAAATTAGAGACCAAGAAGGTGTCATGTGGCCCAATTTTTGTTGATGATAGTGAGAGAAAATCCCAAAGCTGTATATAAATGAGCTTGCAGTCAACTCCTGGACAAATCCTAGAGCAGCCTAGTAAACCAGTGGTTTGGGAGCACTTGGAAAAGAAAGTCAGGGTCCCTGGGAAATGTCATGTCAGACCAGCCTCTGTTCTGTTCTGCTTTTCAATAGGGGCCATTTCGGGGACTGCCGTGGCCGTGGCCGTGGCCGTGGCATGCCTGAGCTCCTGTGGGAGTTCCTGTGGGCTGAGTGATCGTGGAATCAAGGACACGGAACTGGCGTGTGTCCCTGACTGCTTTGGCAGTGCCCAGATTAGAACCTTTACAGGGCTTTTGTGGACACGTATGTTTGGGCTTCCCCCACATCTGCTGACTCTTCAGAGGGAGCCCCCTGGGAGCCTGGGCCCTGTGGGAAGGTACATGGAGGCATGCAACGGGCTCTCGGCACCAACCTCACACCGCTTGGCACCTTCCATGTTTGACGTGGGGCAGAGGCAAGGATGGGAAGCACTGCCGTTAGAGAGTAGAGCCTGAAGTTACGCTATCCACGTGTGGGTCCTACTATTTATTGTTATTTCCTAACTTCCAACCCGCAGCGAGTTAAATCCCTCCTATTCCTCTTGCCTCCTCTGTAAAGGGGAGATAGTACTAGCAACCAAAAGGACATCGTGCTGCCTGGGTAAAAGCGTAGCCCAGATTCGAGCCTGCAGGGGCCGAGAGAACATTAGCTCTCGTTACTGTTAGAGATGACCAAGGCTTATGCAGGGAGCGATTCGCTAACACATCCCCAGATGGAAGTGGCTCCCTCCAGGCCCAGAGAGCCATTCATCTGTTCTAAAGAGGTGTTAATCCAGGTTGTCACCATGGGGGAGTGCTGCAGGGAGGGCTCAGGCGCCAGCTTAGAAAGTGGACTTGGGGAGAGGAGGGCATCCTTTCAGGAAGTCACAAGAATGAAGGCGTTATGAATGTACATGTGCATGGAGTTGGCTCTTCGCCGTGAGGAAGGAAGACCTTATCATGGTCGGGAGAGAGAGAGGCAGGAAGGTGGGATGTTCCCTGAAGAAGGCAGTGGCGCCATCCTCTCTGCCCCTCCCCATCCCTTTCCCCTAACCCCCAGCAGGTGCCTGAGTTCCAGGGGAGGCATGGGGTGCGAGCCAGGCACACTTCTCCAGGCGTGAGCCACTGGCCCCCCAGAGGAAATGCAAAAACAGTGCAAGCAGGAGATCCTCATTAGCAGGGAGATTTATGCCAAAATCGGTTTGGCTCAGTGGATAGAGCATCTGCCTGAATGATAACTGAAATGTCCCAGGTTCGATTCCGGTCAAGGGCATGTACCTTGGTTGCAGGCATGTCCCCGGTGTGGGATGTGAGGGAGGCAGCTGATCAATAATTCTCTCTCATTCTCTTATCGATGTTCTAACTCTCTATCCCTCTTTCTTCCTGTCTGTAAAAAATCAATAAAATATATTTTAAAAAAGAAAGAAAGAAAGAAAGAAAGAAAGAAAGAAAGAAAGAAAGAAAGAAAGATAGAAAGAAAAGAACCAGCGAGCACTCTCTGCTCCCAGGAAGCCGTCATTGCCCCACACGTTCTCCTCCGTGTGTGATTCCGTCCCGCTCCAATGCCGTCATTTCATATTGGGTCCTGTTCATGGCGTTCTGCGAGCAGCAGGCGGGTGTGGATCTGATAGCAGCAGGCCAGTCGCTGCTGACAGGATGGGGCACTTGTCTCGGGGGAATGACGGTTATGGTTCATAGCACAGGGGCAGTGGGGTCTGGCACCCCCAGGCACTATCTTTTGTGGCCTTCCCCTGCAGGGGCTGCTGGGATACACTGAGTTTCTGTGTATGGCAGCCCACATGCAGGTGCATGGAACCCACATGCAAAGGAGCCCCTAAACATGAGACTCCTGTGTGGGGACTTCGTTTTCTTGTTTCTTTGTTAAAGTTAAACTTACATTTTTGAGATAACTGCAGGTTCACATGGGGCCGTAAGAAAAAATATTAGGAGATGCTGTGTACCCTTTACCTAATTTCCCCGACAGCAACATCGTGCAGAAAGCTACCACAGCAACACAACTGGGCCTTCGTTAAAGAGTCGGGGGAGCTTGAGACTGCCCTAGCCTGATGGAAGAGCCTGGGAATGGGGTGCTGCCTCCCCACCCCCCCCCCCCGGGAGGGTGTCTGCAGATAAGACCCTGGAGAGGGGTCAGGGCTCCCTCGATGCAAGTGGCAGGTGTTGGTGCAGATTCTGGATGCCCACCTCTCAGATCCCTGACCCCCAGGAGGGTCCATTGGGTTGCAAGGTTGCATGCTGTTCCAGTCATGGGCGCAGGGGCTGCGTCCCTGAGCCCTTCAGGGGAGAGGCCAGGGGCTGGAATCAGTGAGCTCGGGGCTGAATCACAGCTCCCCACTTGTTGTTTGGGTGGCTACACTTGCTCCGTGGCCAGTGACCTCCTAGAGCCCTCGTTTTGCATAATACCTTGAATAGCTCTCACCATGTGTCAGTCACTCTTCTAGGAACACTAGGTGATACGTCATTTAATACCAGCAGTCCTAAAAGGAGATGTTATTATCAGTTCCCATTTTGCAAGTGAGGAAATGGAGGTACAAAGAGGCCACGTTATTTGCCCCGAGTCACCCAGCTGGCGAGTGGCAGGGTTGGGCATTGGAACGCAGGCCTTCACCCCGCAGGTGTTCGTCCAGAGCCACTGTCCCGTGTTCCTTTCTCCTCCTCTCTGACGGGTTCAGTAGCGCCTCGCTGCATCCGTACAAGGCACACTGCTTGGCACAGGGCCTGGCATGTTATAAAGAAGCACCCAAAATGCCAGTGGACATTATTGTTGGTATGATTTCTTCTGGAAGTTTCTGCGTATCTATCACTTACTGTTATTAGCAATAGCCTCCTTCCTGGCCACCTACTATGTGCCAGACCCTTACTCAGCCCTCTCAGTCTCCCCCAGGGAGGAGTCTGTCTGTAACAGACAGAGCAGCCGGGCATGGTAAAGACAAAGTCTGGCAGAGACATGCCTCACCCGAGGCTGCTCCTGGAATCACAGCTCCAGGGGCAACTTCAAGGGCACCAGCGGCCTGACCTTGAACTCAGCTCAGGACCTGCCCTGCCCAGGACTCATTTACCCATTGCCAATAGCTCGGAGGTGGGAGGGGGTTTCCCCCACACATGAGCACATGTCAGAACCCCCAGCAGCCCCTGCTGTGGATGCCAGCACACCACACCCTTGTGGGGGTTCTGACAGGATGGGGGGCTAAGGCCGTGCATGTCTCGCGAGTCTGCCCAGAATGCTGGCACCGTGGTCCGGGGGCTGACTTTGAGGCCACTGCCCTCGTGAGAAAGCCTGATGCAGGAGTAACGGTAGAGGTGGCAGCTGCCCTTTGCAACCCAGAAGGGTTTCCTTGCATTTCCCCGCAGGGTAAACTCCCATCTGGCCTCTCCCACTTCCCCTCCATAGAAGTCCTTATGCTCACTGCTCTCAAAAGCCTCCTGTGATGGGGGTCCAACCCTGTCTCGGCCCACTTCACCCTTTTGGTGATGGCCGCTCAAGCTTCCCCCCAAATGACACGTACTGTTGCTTTTCTGGTTAAAAACAAACAACAAAGCCAAACCTTCCCATTGCTGGAAATTTAGGAAAGTATCAAAAATAAAAAAGGGGAATAAAGGGAGAAAGTGAACATTAACTACCACCTCACGGTTAGTGTTTTGCTGCATTTTCATGTATTTCCTTGCGGTCCCATTGTTTCTTGTAAACGTGTTAACATGAGAGTAAAAACGTGTAAGGCACTTCGTGTCCCAAAAGCAAGAGAGGCTTTAACTGTGCCCTCCACACACACCGCTGTTTTCATTATGGAATCCACCCAGGAGCTGGGCTTGCTGAGGACGGCGCTTTGGACGGCACGGGCAGGCCTTGGAGCCAGTGGCGGTGAGAATATGGCGGGCGCAGAGGTCAGAACCATTGTCATCTGTGGGGCGGCGGGTGGTTCAGCCAGAAAAGGGTTGGAGTCCGTGGTGGGGGAGCGGGGAATGGGGAGCTGTGAGTGGCTGGCCTGTGCTCCCTGAGGCGCTAGGGAGTCACTGTCCATTCTTGAGCAGGAAAGGACTTAACCAAGGCCATGCTTGCTGTGGAAGACTGAGAGGGCGGATTGGGAGGAGAGTGGGAAGGTGGAGGGAAGAGGCACGGATACACAAACAGGGTACAGCCCAGGGGCCCCCCCTCCCCAGCCCCCAGCAACCGGAGCAGTGTTGTGACGTGCACGGGTCTACTTCTGAGCCGCCAGGATGGAGAGGGACTGGTTGATCTTCACCATGACGATGATGAGGAGGCCTCCGGTGAGCAGGAAGGTGGGCCAGAAGAGAGAGAACAGGAGGGTCTGGGGCCCGTAGAGGCGCCGGTACAGGACCCTGGTCTCGTTCTCCCGCGTGGTCGAGAAGCAGTAGAAAACCCGGTGCTCATGGAAGTTGTCTCTGACTCTCTCCACGTCGGCCCGGGCCAGCTGGTAGTTGTCCAGGCTGCCTGGGATGTAGGAGCACTGCGGGGAGAAGCAGGAGTTCCCTTGGGGTGGGAGTGCCATCTCCAGGAGGGAAGCACAATGCCAGCGTTGGAGTCAGGCCCTTGGGTGGGAGAGGGCTGAGGTGGGGAGGGGGGGATGCCAGAACCATCTAATGCTACAGTGTCATCTGTGAGCACGGTGACCCTGTGGCTGCTCAGGACCCAGTTGGGGTCCTGGCTCTGCTTCCATTGCTGTAGAGCTTTATTTTTTTTTTTAAACATATTTTATTGATTCTTTACAGAGAGGAATTGAGAGAGATAGAGAGTTAGAAACGTCGATGAGAGAGAGACATCGATCTGCTGCCTTTTGCACACCCCCACTAGGAATGTGCCCACAACCAAGGTACGTGCCCTTGACTGGAATCAAACCTGGGACCCTTCAGTCTGCAGGCCGACACTCTATCCACTGAGCCAAACCAGTTTTGGCTGCTGTAGAGCTTTAGACAAATCCCTCACCCTTTCTGAGCCTTGATAGCTTCATCTCTTAAATAGGTTAAAAGCAATATATTTTCCAATGATGTTGTTAAAGAAGGACTTCACGCTTCACTGAGGAGGCCATGAGAGGCAGTGAGGGACGGGCCCAGTGGGCTCTGGATTCAGGCCAGAGGTCACACGCTCAGGTACCTGCTGCAGAGCTCACGCAGGGGATGCCCGCGAGGAACACGGGTGAGAGAATAAGAAGGCAGGTGCCAGCTTGCCTTCGTGCCATAGAGAACTGCCAGGGAGTGGCGGGGCCTGGTGACAGGAGACAGCCAAATGCACCCAGACGGCCATCCTCACTCCATCTGGACAGGGGTCACCATGGGATCCAGAAGGCCTCTTGTTGCCAGGCCTCCGACACTTCACGAGAAGCCAGAAAACCAGAGTTGAATGTGAACCCTCACATCCTACAAATATTGGCAAAAGTTCACACTGAAAACCCTCTGTGGTCTCCCCCTGTGTGCTGGCCAGCCAGTATCAGATGCTGGGGTGCAGAGGGGAGGGAGGGTGCATCCAGAGGAGCGCTGTGCACACAGAGCGTGGCACACACTCAATCCCGACACCGACTGGTGTTCTGAGGAGCATCTGGCCTGGTCCAATGAGGTGAAGCTGGGAAGCTCTGCAGAGGAGGTGCAAGGTGGGGACCCCGGTTCTGGCTCTGCTCTGTGCCAGGAGGGCTGAGTATTGTTTAGGGGACCCTGTGGGAGATGTCTGCAAGTGAGAGTGCCCCCTCCCAACCCCAGCCCCTCCAGCAGACCACCTGGAGGGCTGGCCCTCTGAATCATCAATAGCGGGGCCCAGGAATCAAGTGACTCCTTCATATTCACAAGTGTGAGACCACTGGATGAGAGGAATTGTGTCCAAGATGAACAATGTGTAAACTATTGAGCCAGTTTCTCCCCAGCCTCGGTTACTCCTTGGATTATGATGAGGCCCCAACCTCGAAGCTGCTGGCCCTGACAGTGCTCAGTCTAGCAGAACAAAGGATGGTTGCATCAGAGTTCTGGCAGCCTGGGAAGTGGGAGAGCTGCATCCAGAAGTAGGTTACCAGCCAGCCAGCCAGGGAGCAGCTGAGGCTGGGGAGAAGCTGGCTCCTGGGGAGTCTGGCATGCAGAGTTGTTGAGCACCTCAGGGTCCCTGTAGCAGATGGATTTAGAATCCTGAGCTGAGAGGGCTTAGCTCAAATCTCCCCAATGCCTCTGACTGTGAGGTTGGGTAACCTAGCTCACTGAGCGATGTGTGGCTACGGAGCCAGACAGGCTTGGGTTCAACTACCAATTCCAAATTGTGTGACCCCGGGAAGTGCCATAACTTCTCTGAGCCTTATAACATGGGTCTGTGAGGGCACCCTACTAATTGACTTGTGGGGATTAGAAGAGAGGATGCATATAAACACTTTGCACAAAGCTGAGCACATAGTAAGTGCTCAATAAATGGGAGATGCTGTTCTTATTAACTACTGGCCCTGCACACGAATCTGTGCATGAGCAGCTTGCTGTCGCCCACCGCAGCTCGTAGCTGTCTGCACACATAGCTCGCTGCCCCGCCCTCCTGCTGATTGGTCATTACGCATCATGGCGTGATGACTATTTGCATGTTACCTCTTTTTTATATAGGGTGATGATAGGGGACTTAACTATGATATTGCAAGGAAAGCTCCTCCTTTCCCTTCTTAGAGAGGAGCCTTTCACACAGCACCCAGCTGGCCTATTGCACCCAGAGCTGAATGAAGCAGAGGGACAGCTGGCCCGTTGACCCAGCTGAGTGACAAAAACATGCCGGTACTTCCCCTGCCCCACATGCTAGCAGCCTGCCATCAGCAACTGCTCCTGGTCCTGCCTGGGTACAATGAGAGAAGACAGAACAGCCGGTGGCTGCCTTCCAGGGCCAGACATGCCGCTGGCAGCTCATCTCAGGGGACAGTCTGGCCTCCTGTCCCTCTGAGCTGACAACCGTAGCATCGGGGCAGCAGCCTGCAAGCCAGCCTGCACCCAGTCCCTGTCACTCCATGATCATGCCTGCCTGCCTTTGAAACTGTGCTGCCTGCTCCTTGGGATAAGTCTGAGGCCACTGGATGCCAGGAGAGGCAGGCGTCCTGGTGGGAGCCGATTCGGGGATTTGGGGGGCTCTTCCTCCATCTAATGGGGCTGAGAAATGCACTGTAGTGATGGCAGAACAGTCAGGCCACCTTGCACTGTCTGCACCCACTTCTCCATGACCCCCAGCCTCCAGCACTGTTAGTGATCCCACTGTCCCCTCAGACACGCTGCCCCTTCCCATCCTATCAGCCACCAAAGTCTGGCTGTCAGCACCACCCTGTTTCAGGGCCAATCTTCCTCCCGGTGTTTGCTGTGGCCCCGCCCCTCTGCCCAGTCACTGACCGGCACACTCCCCTGCTCCTCTCTGATTCTCTGATCGTGCTCCCTGACCCCAAGCCGGGTAAAGATTCCAGATCGCTCACAACAGGAAATCTCTACCTTTGAACCACCTGGAGAGCCCAGACACTGCATCCAAGTTCAGAAGTGGGAGCCTGGTTTTGCTGCCCACCCTTCCAGCCTTCTCCTGCGCCCTGCCCTTGACCTGTGTGCCCCACCATGGTTCTGTGGCCCTCGTGTCTGCCTGATAAATGCCTAACCCAGATGCCTGGCGCCCTCACCTGCCTCTCTGGTGGCTGGAAAGCGTCCCTCCCTCCTTTAATCCCACAATGCTCTCGTTCCTCTCCATGGCATGGCTCCCTCCCCAGCAGGTATTATTTCCTGCCTAGGCCTTCTCCTGTTGAGTCCTAAGCCCCTAGCACAGGACGTGCCCAATGACCGTTTAATGAAAGAGGGAGCAAATGAGCAAATGAATATGGGCCGACTTGTATTTCCTTTAGGGAGGACTACAAGGAACACCCTCCCTCCCCTCTCCCTGCTTCTGGGCCATACATAGATTTTGGGGTGGAAGGCAATGATGAGAAAATATCCCCATGTTGCCCTTGCTCCAGCCCTGGACCCCAGGAGGAGGATGTATAGGGGTTCCCTGGGGGGGGGGGGAGGTTTGGGGAGGGGGTCAGCTCTGGGCCTGGCCTTTCAGTTGACTTACAGAATGAGGTACTAACACCAGCAGCTACTTCTTTATGAGTGCGTCTATGCACCCGACATGGAGATTGGCACATTAGATCCAGTGCTCTTTGCACAAAAGCAATTGAGCAAAGGTGGGAACTGAGGCACGGAGGAGCTAAGTCAGCTGCCCCGGGCCACACAGCCAGTTAGGGGCATAGCAGGGATTCACACCGAGGTCTGTGTGACTCGAACTCAGAAGAGCAAGGTCTGGCTGGACCTCATGCCAGCTACAGTCCCTGGCCACGGGGGTCATCTTTCTCAGTCCCCACTCTCCAGAGGGGAGCGAGGGAGACAGTTAGGGACAGGCCCTCACACCTGCCAGGGTTACAGGGACAGGTACCCATCCCCCCTGTTGGTACCTGCTGGTTCTGGTCCCAAGTGTCCTCCGTGTGGTACAGCACGGCCCAGTGGCCCACGGCAGATACGTTGACCCACAGGCATGGGTACTGGGCCACCTTCCTGCCCTCCAGCTCCTCCTGGTCTCTGATGTTGGTCTCAATCAGGTGGCACGTGGATTCCTGGGTCCACACGCTGGGGAGATCACACATAGGTATGCGCGCGCCCACACACACACACACACACACACACACACACACACACACACATTTCAGAGCCTGTGCGGCACGGAGCACCCTGTTTGAACCCTGGAAGAGGCCCAGGGCCGGGACTTGCATCTTCCCCCGAGCATCCAGCACTGAAGGAGCGTGACCCAGGGCCCCCAGGCCCAGGGAAAGAAACAGAATCCGAATGTCAGTGCCTATGGCCTCTTGGACATCACCCACAGAATGGCCATCCGAACCTGGGGGGACTTTTTTGAAGGTTCCCACATCCAAGCCACACCCCAGAGCAGATGGATGAGGCCCAGGCCCTGGTTGTTTTTAAAAAGGCAGCCACATCGTCTTCATCCTCAGAGACAGAAGAGGAGCTCAGAAAGGTCAAGTGACTTTCCCGAGGCCACACAGGACCTGAAGTCAGGCCTGGGTGGCTTCAGCATCTGTGCCCTTTCCTCTAAAAGGCGGAGATGAAAGAGGGTTGATCTATCCCAAATGGGGAGGCTGGTGGGGATCAAGCTTAACCTGGAGGTGCTGTGTCGGAGGCGCACGGCTGCTCTGAGCGGTCAGGTTCCCGCCGGGAATCTCTCCTTGGGGTAAAAGGGAGAAAGAAGCAAACCCCCGAGAGGCTAACAGACTCATCAACACACCAGCAGCCAATCCACTGCGACTCGCCCCCCGTTCATCAAGCAAAGGTCTGGAGGAGCTGGGTTGGCGTGTGCCCGGGCGAGGGGCTGAGACTTGGCTTAAGAATGAGCCGGGAGAGCTGAGTGTGTGTGTTCCAGAGAGAGCTGGATCGGGAACATCACAGCTCTGCCTTCAAAAGTTCGAGTGGTTGACATGCTGGGGAGTAAGGGCATGGAACATTCTCGGAGATTCCAGAGCAGAGCTCTGGGGAAGCGGGTCTCAACGTAAACAGGTCCTGCTGATCAGAATGTACGTATGCACAGCGAGGTAGTGAGCTCCCCGTCGCTTGAGATATTCCACAGAAGGCTAGCTACCCACTGACCAGTGGTTTCAGAGGGGGTCGCACTGTGCAGATGGGGGACACGATTCTGTGACTGCTCCCTCCTGGGATGGGACGCACAGGAGCATGTGATCTGACCCTTTGATATTTCCTGTGGGAAGGCCTCCCATGTGTTACGTCCAAATCCCAGGATTCCAGACCAGCAGGGACCAGTCCGGCCTTCCCTCCACCCGCCCTGCATTTGAATCCTTAACCCTAAGAATGAGGATGCCTGCCTGGCATGAGGGTCAAGGGGACGGGTAGAAAGAAGTCTGGGGCTCCTCACAAACCAGACTTTAGGGAAGAGGCTGGAGGATGGGGATAGGCTGGGGGGAGGATGCGTACCTTTTCTGGTAGAGGGGCAGCATGGTCGTGCCCAGGATGTAGTAGGCGATGACGGCGCACACCACCATGGCCACCCCCAGGCAGAGGGCTCGAGTCTCTCCCCGCTTCTGGGCCATCACCAGCTTCTTCCCCATGTCCCCCGGGGACAGCAATCATGCTGAGGCCACAGAGACACACAGACAAGAGAGCAGGTGACAGTTAATGCTCGGAAGGGAAGACAGGTGAGACGGAAGGGGGCTCCCATGCTAATATTGCCCCTATTTTCTTAAATATATTTTTATTGGATTTCAGAGAGGAAGGAAGAGGGAGAGAGAGAGAGAGAAACATCCACGATGAGAGAGAATCATGGATGGGCTGCCTCCTGCAAGGCCCCCTACTGGGGATCGAGCCCATAACCCAGGCACGCGCCCTTGGCCAGAATCAAAGCTGGGACCTTTCAGTTCACAGACTGACGCTCCATCTACTGAGCCAAACGAGCTAGGGCTTATTGGTCCTGTTTTTATGTGGAGGTTGGCAACTTCAGATGGCTTTTATTGGACCCCAGGAAGCCTGCCACCAGCTCTGAGAGGCGAGTTATCAACCCCCTTCTACAGGTGAACGACCCGTGGCTCAGAGAGGCAAAGTGACCTGCCCAGGGGCACAGTGTGAGATGGGCTCAATAGTGACCCCAAGATGCCCACGTTCTCAGCCCTGGAGTCTGTGACTGTCACTTAACATGGCAAAGGCTTTAAGGAGGGTGAGATCATCTACACGGGTTTTCCATGTAGATCCTAACATCCTTACGGGAGGAGGCAGGCGGAGACTAGGCACAGACCAGGAGGAGGTCACATGACCTGGGAGGCAGAGGCTGGAGTGATGCCACACAGGCCCGGGATTGCGGGCAGCCCCCCCGGCCGTCCCCACCCACCTCTGGAGGGAGTGGTGCAGCGCTGGTGACGCCGTGATCACAGCCTTGCCAGCATCTTGCCAATTTGGGGCTTCCAGCCTCCAGAACTTTGTGCAAGGACATCTCTGTCGCCTGGACATTTGTGAAGGCAGCAATGGGAAACTGGCAGGGAGATACACTGATTCCTTGAGCAGTGGAGGCGGAACATCCTAAAACACTGTTTCCGAGAAACCCAGGGCACCCACAGTTCTGCCCACCAGCCCCACCGCAGGGCCCAGCTGGGGGCAGCAGGCCGAGGACCCAGCAGGAGCCTCGGGTACTGGGGGCAGCTTGAGGTTCCCACAGTCAGGGTCCCGTGAGGGCCACCTCCCTCTCCAAGTAAGAGCAGAGGCCTTTAGTGGCTGCAGCAACTACTCTCTCCTCTGGGGGCTTGAGCCCCCCCCCCCCCCGGGCCGAAGCAGAATGGGGGAGTAGCTGGCACCTCTCCTCTTCCCTCCTCACTTTCCTCTGGGCATCTGCCTCACCCGGTGCAAGCAGAGCCCCTCCCCCACCCCACCCCCACCACTGAGCACCCTCCAGGGGTGTGACTCGTCACCTGGCACCTGCCAGCTGCCAGCTTCTGTCCCTTACGGGGTTCCCATCTGTCCTGTGAGTTGCCCCATTAGCCTTTGGGTCCATTTCTTTATTGTTTTGTTTGTTTAGGCCAGTGGTCAGCAAAGTCATTAGTCAACAGAGCCAAATATCCACAGGACAACGATTGACATTTCTTTGGAGAGCCAAATTTTTTTTTTTTAAACTTCTTCTAATACCACTTCTTCAAAATAGACTCGCCCAGGCCATGGTATTTTGTAGAAGAGCTAGGGTAACCATAGTTCGTTTCTCCCAAAGATACCAGGGCTGTGGGCCCTCTCTCTGTAATCCCCAACTTTGGGGGAAATTTTAGCCAGATATCAGGAAGAACTGTATCTTCCCTGCCAGGTCCCTGAAGGAATATACAGGTTAGTTTTTTAATAAATTAGTGTCCAGGAGAGAGACATTGGCCCAAAGGAATTTTCAGCAAAGCACTTTATTTTCCACTTAGGCTTCCCTCCTAAGTATTGACTGTTTCAAGTGTCCCCAGAGATCCTTCCCCCTCCTCCCGCCACATGCCTCCCCCACTGTCCTAAAGAGAAGATTCTGGGATCCGGCACCAAGGATATAACCTTGTCACTGCCTCTAAGATGACTGGCAGGGATGACACCCATGGCAAGTTTTCCTCCCTCATTTGGGGCGCTGAGAAGTGGGGTCTCCCACATTCTAACAGAGACGTCAGTGTCCCAGGGAGTATGTTTCCTGGGCTGACTCTGGGCTGCAGCCCTCTGGCTGCACTGGCAGCTGGGACCTCAGGACCGGGCTCTGCCCCCCACCTCCCAGCTGACAGCCGCTGTTCAGATGCCAGTAGTTCAGGTCCCCAGGGACACCACTGGCAGCCCTTCTGGACCCCAAACCCCCGTGCACAGCCCCCGAAGGAGGGCGTTCCCACTGCCGCTCCCTCTGAAGCTCTCCCCGCCCTCCAGCCTGCACTTTGGAGAAACCCGTCCCAAGTGCTCAGGACGCAGTACTCACAGTCTCCCGCCCCGGAGTCCTCAGCAGGCAGGCACTCTCTATCTGCCGGCCCCAGCCCCCACCCCAAACAGAGGCCACCTGGGCTCCAGCAGGAAGCTGGGGCTGCCAGCCCTCTGTTTCCAGGGAAGCGGCCTCTGGTCCCCATCTGGGACTCGCCTCCATGCCCAAACATGGTCAAGTCTGAGCACACGGCCCGGGCCGGGACACACACTCAGAGCAGGTACCAGCCGGGAGGACAGAGGGTGGCAGCTGCTGCCCAGGCCCCGCACCTACACCTCCCAGAGCAAGCCAGGAAGCCGGGAAAGACTGCCCTGCAGTGTTTGGGAAATATTTCCGCCCTCGGTCTCTCTGAGCTGGAGGAGTGGCTGCCAACCCCCGAAGGAACTGGACATGGTTTTCCTTTAGTTGGCGTGGGGGAGGGAGGAGGCGTGGAAGCTGGAGTGGAGGGGGACCAGCCAAACCCTCCTTTCTCTGGCCTGTGCATGCTGTGTGGCCCTGGGCAAGTCGGGGCCCCTCTCTGCACCTCTGTTTTCTCATCTGTGCTGTTGGAGTGTTTTAAACTCACTTTGTTCAGGGTCGTGATGAGGACTAGAGATGGTGGATCTTTGTGGCAGAGAAAAAGAACACATTTTATTTTTATTTTTTATATTTTTTTATTGATTTTTTTTACAGAGAAGAAGGGAGAGGGATAGAGTTAGAAACATCCATCAGCGGCCTCCTGCACACCCTCTACTGGGGATGTGCCCGCAACCAAGGTACATGCCCTTGACAGGAATCGTACGTGGGACCCTTCAGTCCGCAGGCCGACACTCTATCCACTGAGCCAAACCAGCCAGGGCAGAACTTACATGTTAAAGACCAGGCAGGTCGAAGCAGGGACCATCACAGCTCCCGCTGCCTCTCACCAGCCGTGGACAGGGACAGCCTGTCGTGTCCAGTGGCCTCCAGAGACTGAGTGTGGTTGGGGTCATGCAAGAGATCTGTTCCCCTCACGAAGCCAAGAGGGCATCGGCGTTGGCAGGCAACACACATTCCCAGATTTCTCCCAGTCTGCTTGTCTGTGCAGTGCTTGTTGTAAGGATTAAACATCGGGGGGAAACCAGCCCAATACTTTGGGCCCCTCCTGACTGCCAGGCGTGTCTCTAGCCCTCGCTTTACCCAACAATGAGGTAAAGAAGTAGATTTTGAGCCTCGGTAGCTTACTAACCCTAACCCACGGTGACCCTGCTCTAAGGGCCAGAGTCAGATTCGAAGTCAGCCCTTCCAGCTCGCAAAGCCAAGCTCCTGCTGAGCCTGGTCCTGTGCTAAGACATGAACGCTCCTCTGCTTTATACAGTCCCCTGCCACCTGCCCAGTCCCCAGGGAGGGTGGTGCGACCCAGCATGCCCGCTGCATGAGCCCGCCACCCCCCTCATTCACCCCGGCCACCGCAAGGCAGCCAGCCCAGTGGGCCGTGGAATGACACTCCTGCAGTGAGTCCCCTTTGCCCCTTTACTAATTAAACCATATTAACAAGAGTACATTGTTTCATGGACATCACCGCAAAGGAGGTCTCCTCAGGTCTTGGGCCTCACATGGGGATTGGCATGAGGGACACGGGGCCTGGAATGGATCCCCAGAGGAGTGGTTTGCAGGGATGGTTCCTGGTCCCTTCAGGAGCTGGAAGAGTCCCCGAGGGCCCACGAACTGATGCACAAATGTCAGTCTTCCTCCCACTCCCTGGGGGAGGGGCCAGGGCAGCAGCAGGCCCTTTGGAAGAATGACCAAAGGGCTGTTGCATGTAATCAGCCAAATGAGTTCTCGAGGGCTACATGTTTGGAATTCATAAACCAACGCCAGCCTTCTTCCCAAAGTGCTTCTCCTCTCGGAAGTGGGGCCAGGCAGGGAAGGGGGGCGGGGGAGGCGAGCTCCTTGCTGCAGAGCCGTGAGCCCGAGCCAAAGCCTCGCTCTGGATGGAGACCTGGGTCCCTGGCTGGCTTTGGGGTTATGTGTGACAGGCGGTTGTAGGCGGAGGACAAGGACCAATGACGCTACCACAGCTTTGCGTTACCACGGGGTGTTAGGATTCACCAAACGCCTTCCCTGCCTGCAGTCTTCCAATAGCCTCACACGATCACAGTCATCCGTTCAGGAAGAGCTTTGTCTCCCCATTTTATAGAGGGGGTCACCGAGACTCAGAGAGGTTAACTCCATTGCCCAAGGCAGTGACTGCCTCTCTCAGCCTCGGCTTGCCCACCTCTAGGATGGAGATCATGCACGGTCATTCTTTCTGCCATCCTCACAGGAGGGGGTCTTATTTCCGTTCTGTGCCCGAGGTCACTCCCTCTGCACGTGAGGTGACGGGGCCTGGCTGTGAACCTCAGCTTGCTGCCTCCACCGCCCATCCCTGTGTCTGCACCCCACCCCCTCCAGTCCCCTCCCTCGCTTTCTGAGGACCCGTGTTCCTTGGGACATCTGCTTCAGCTGCTTGACAAGCCCCTCTCCTCGGTCCACGGCACTCTCCTGGCTTGTGCATCCACTTATTTATTTAAACCCGTCTGAATCAATATTCTCCACCGCCACTCGGGATAATAAGTCCCATAAATCAACTTGGCAACTGTCCTGAGCCCTGCGGAGAGTGTCACTGGCTGAGTGTCACAGAGC